ACAATATCGTTTCACCAAATTCATCCTCGTTCTCCATCATTTTCCAACCAATATTACATAATAATTCCTCGCGAAAACTTTCACGAACCATTTACATCACAAACCCCCAATATACACAGATTGGAACAAATTTCCACGCGAGGCAAATCTTCCAAAATATGCGTCACCAAAATACACATATCCTACGAGTTGCCGCTATCCTACCACCATCGTTGATCGACTTACTTACGGCTGATATTAAATCATAAACCGGGCGCGCCGTATTGTATCAATGGTGGCCGATGGCTAAGGTGCTAAGTCTGCCTGTAAGATGGCCAACAAAGGATTTACCCCGGCTACGGTGGCCACGATATTAGGTATTAATGGCCTAAACTTCCATCTAATACGGTGGCCATAGAGGGGGTCTGGGTTGCATAAGACAGGTCGGGGAGGGGGTTGCTCTGCCGGCCAGTGGCCACCTTAATCCAGGGACGTATAGTTTTCATTAAGGTGCCCTGCGCGTACTGTGGGGGGATCAGCTGGTTCTCGAGGTAGGCTTCCACTCCGCAGATTTGACCACGGACAGACCGTATTATGCGGTCTGTTTATTAGCAAACCTTCCTTCCTTCCTGCGGATCTCGTTCGTGACGAGATTCGAACACGTCGTCTCGTTTCCCTCGATCGAATTCGTCGTTTGGACTTTTGAAAATCGAATCTGATCTTGCGTTGCGTTCGATTCAAAGGAAGATGCATCGAGGGAGAAAATATAGGTATATTGTGGAATGTTATTACGAGGCAATTACGAGGTAATTTGGAATATGATTAAATCGTTATAAAATAGTGTTAATTGTAAAATATCGATAAAATACCGAAAAAATATATTGCCATAAAAAACTATAGAATGTACTATAAAATATCATAGAATATAAAATATTGTTATCGAGAAATGTTGCGCATTTATAAAAGATCATAAAAAAGTATTATAAAGTATCGACTAGGTGAAATACCGTTGCCAAAAAATATTACCACCACAGAAAGAAACCGTACCGGGCTACTATAAAATACTACTAGTATAAAAACTATACTATAAATATATAAAATGTAAAATAATGTCATCAAAAAATATTGCCTATAAAAAAAAAAAATCAGGGTGAATTATAGAACGTTTATTATAAAATATCAATACTATAAGGATACCATCACCATTATAAAATACTATTACTCTTTGTGACAAATAATATTAAGGAAACCATATTACAAAATATCGATACAAGATAAAATACTGTTATCAAAAAGTACTGCCGCTATAAAAGAAAAAAACCATAGAACGTACTAATAAAGTATGTCGATGACCACGAAATATCAGTATAAAATATTGTTACCAAAAAATATTGCCTATAAAAAAAACTGGGATGAATCACAGAACGTATTAAAATAGGATACTATCAAAGAATCACCATTATAAAATACTATTGCCAAAGAATCGCCACTATAAAATACCGTTACCAAGAAATATTGCCAGTATAAAAAAAAACTTTCACGAACCATTTACATCACAAACCCCCAATATACACAGATTGGAACAAATTTCCACGCGAGGCAAATCTTCCAAAATATGCGTCACCAAAATACACATATCCTACGAGTTGCCGCTATCCTACCACCATCGTTGATCGACTTACTTACGGCTGATATTAAATCATAAACCGGGCGCGCCGTATTGTATCAATGGTGGCCGATGGCTAAGGTGCTAAGTCTGCCTGTAAGATGGCCAACAAAGGATTTACCCCGGCTACGGTGGCCACGATATTAGGTATTAATGGCCTAAACTTCCATCTAATACGGTGGCCATAGAGGGGGTCTGGGTTGCATAAGACAGGTCGGGGAGGGGGTTGCTCTGCCGGCCAGTGGCCACCTTAATCCAGGGACGTATAGTTTTCATTAAGGTGCCCTGCGCGTACTGTGGGGGGATCAGCTGGTTCTCGAGGTAGGCTTCCACTCCGCAGATTTGACCACGGACAGACCGTATTATGCGGTCTGTTTATTAGCAAACCTTCCTTCCTTCCTGCGGATCTCGTTCGTGACGAGATTCGAACACGTCGTCTCGTTTCCCTCGATCGAATTCGTCGTTTGGACTTTTGAAAATCGAATCTGATCTTGCGTTGCGTTCGATTCAAAGGAAGATGCATCGAGGGAGAAAATATAGGTATATTGTGGAATGTTATTACGAGGCAATTACGAGGTAATTTGGAATATGATTAAATCGTTATAAAATAGTGTTAATTGTAAAATATCGATAAAATACCGAAAAAATATATTGCCATAAAAAACTATAGAATGTACTATAAAATATCATAGAATATAAAATATTGTTATCGAGAAATGTTGCGCATTTATAAAAGATCATAAAAAAGTATTATAAAGTATCGACTAGGTGAAATACCGTTGCCAAAAAATATTACCACCACAGAAAGAAACCGTACCGGGCTACTATAAAATACTACTAGTATAAAAACTATACTATAAATATATAAAATGTAAAATAATGTCATCAAAAAATATTGCCTATAAAAAAAAAAAATCAGGGTGAATTATAGAACGTTTATTATAAAATATCAATACTATAAGGATACCATCACCATTATAAAATACTATTACTCTTTGTGACAAATAATATTAAGGAAACCATATTACAAAATATCGATACAAGATAAAATACTGTTATCAAAAAGTACTGCCGCTATAAAAGAAAAAAACCATAGAACGTACTAATAAAGTATGTCGATGACCACGAAATATCAGTATAAAATATTGTTACCAAAAAATATTGCCTATAAAAAAAACTGGGATGAATCACAGAACGTATTAAAATAGGATACTATCAAAGAATCACCATTATAAAATACTATTGCCAAAGAATCGCCACTATAAAATACCGTTACCAAGAAATATTGCCAGTATAAAAAAAAACTACTATACCACGTACTATAAATATATCATAGAATACCATCAAAAATTCGCCGCTGTTACCAAAAAATATTGCAACTATAATGTTATATAAATACATATTGTAAAATGTCATAGGATACCAACAAAAAAATCGCCACTATAAAATACCATATATAAAATACTATCGAAAAATAATGCCATTATAAAACCATAGTATAGTACTATAACTATAAATTATCAGTACCAAAGAATCGCCACTATAATATACTATTGCCAAAAAATATTATCATTATAAAAAAACCATAATACAGTGTACTATAAAATACCATCAAAGAATCGCCACTATAAAATATCGTTGCCAAGAAATATTGCCACTATAAAAAAAAACTATTATACCACGTACTATAAAATATCATAGAATACCATCAAAAAGTATTGCCATTATAAAACCATACTACTAAAGAATCGCCACTATAAAATATCGTTACTAAGAAATATTGTCACTGTAAAAAGAACTACTATACCACGTACTATAAATATATCATAGAATACCATCAAAGAATCGCCACTATAAAATAAACTAGTATAAAATATTATCAAAAAGTATTGCCATTATAAAACCATAGTATATTACTATAACTATAAATTATCAGTACCAAAGAATCGACCACTATAAAATATCAATTACAATACAGTGTACTATAAAACACCATCAAAGAATCGCCACTATAAAATATCGTTGCCAAGAAATATTGCCACTATAAAAAAAACTACTATACCACGTACTATAAAATATCATAGAATACCATCAAAAAGTATTGCCGTTATAAAACCATACCACCAAAGAATCGCCACTATAAAATATCGTTACCAAGAAATATTGCCAGTATAAAAAAAAACTACTATACCACGTACTATAAAATATCATAGAATACCATCAAAAATTCGCCGCTATAAAATACTATCAAAAAGTATTGCCATTATAAAACCATACATTACAATACTATAACTATAAAGTTTATCAAAGAATCGCCACTATAAAATACTATTGCCAAAAAATATTACCTATGAAAAAACTAAAGTACAGAATGTATTACTATAAGATAGTAGGATACAAAGAATCTCCACTATAATATACCATTGCCAAAAAATATTAATACCAAAGAATCTCGAATATCTCCATTTCTCTCCCTCTCTCTCTCTCTAACAAAAATATCCTCGCATATCAATCATCTCGTTATTGAAACGAGACTAAAAATACGAAGCTAAATATAAAACAATCTCCAATAATCATTCTTCCATTTCCTACCAGAGAAACCAGAGAGGGGAATCAACCGAACGAAAACGATAAAACTTTCGACGAGTGCAGTTCCGGGATGACGGAAGTGGGAACAGAGGCGCTCTCGTTTCTATTATCGTTCCTCCTCTTCTTCTTCTTCTTCTTCTGTTCAACGCTTCGATCGCTTCTCCCATCTCGATTAACAATTATCAACAATTCCTCCACCACAAATTCTCCATCCACTGTTGGAGATCCGCGAGTCTCCTTTCTCCTTCCTTCTCCTTCTTTCGCATCATCCCACCCACCCTCCCCCCCTCTTCCTCCTCCCCGTTCACCATTTCCGTTCTCGGTCTCGGTAGAAGTCTGGGATTACGACCTGAAGTGGGATAGACTCGTGGGACTTAAGTCAGGGTTACACAAGGATCGCAGCTATTGTGCCATCACCCGGCTCTTATTGTCTCGGGATAGACGAGTGGATCTGCATATGCTTAGCACGAGAGTTAGAGACTTCTCTCTTGCAGCGATCTTCCACGAATCATCTGGACGAAACCCCCTCGAATTCAAATCCGCGAGCCCATTGTCGGGTTCCATTGTGGTTATACGGCGGCGGCTTGATTGTTCCATTTCGAGGATTGCAAAACTTTCCTCCTTTCCTCCCAGCGTCGAACGAAAAATTATTGCCCCGAATAATAATAATAATAATAATAATAACAATAATAATAATAATCGTTCGAGAGATAAAGAAATACGATGGAAGATAAATAATCGAGAATAACCCTTCCCCCTGTTTCAGGGAAAAATCTTCCGGTGCACTGCGTGGTCGAGACCATACACAACATCGTCGAGACGCACGTGAGCAACGCTCGTGAGAATTGGCGCAGGCCTCAGGTGGAGACCGACTCCTACGTGATCATTCCGGTGGCTATGCCTTTCCAGGTAAAAAAAGAAGAGAAAAAAAAAAAATACAAGGGAAACTTCCTTCCCACTCGAAGATATCGAATAAATAATAAAAAATAATCGGATGGATCACCAGGATCTGGTGGGCGAGGCTCTGGTGCGGCTCGGTTACTCGAGCGACTTGATACCGAGCGCGAGGGGCAGCATCGTGATAAGGAATTGGAAACCGTTGCCGATGGAGAAGGTGGCGGACGGCCCCCTGTTGACGGTGGGCGACATACTGGCCGAGTTGACGTCGGTCGCCACCCTCAAGATCCAGGTGTACAGGTCGAGGCCGCCGCCCCCGAGCCCTGCCGCCGAGGTCAGGAACAAATTGTTGAGGCTGTTGTTGCTGCACAGCCACGCGCTCCTCGTCTCGGCCGGTTGCCCCCTCGACGAGGTGAGCATTCACGATTTTTATTGTTGTACAGTTGACGAGGACGAGGAGGAGGAAGGGACTGCTCTGGTCTGGACGAGGGCAAGGGGAGGGGGATGTAAGGCCGCTTAAAAATGTATAAAATGTAAATCTAACCCGTGGTAGAGTGCTTGTCGTCGGGTTGGTTTAATCTCATTAAGAAGTCCCCTCCCCTGACTTGGGTACCCCTTGTTTCCTCCTCCTCCTTCTTCTCGAGAGAGAATAGAGTAATCTCGAGAAGAGCGAGAGAGAGAAAGAGATTCTCCACCTCGGAGATCCGATCCGACGTTGATCCGCCGTTTTAAATAAATGTTTTCTCGACCACTGTTTCCCAAATCCTGCTTTCCGGCATCCGAAAACACTTTCGGTTAATTAAACTCGGTTTCATCGTTCGGATCGTGTCCGCGTTTCGAAAAGGAACGGTGGCTTTTTTGTTTTTCTTTTTTCTTTTTTGTTTTATTTCGCGAGGAAGAAGAGGAGAAAATAATTTATCACCGTCTATGGGATACGCGAGAAAAAATTCTTAGTTAGTTTTCATATATTTTCTTTTTTTTTTTTTGAAGGAAACATTCTTGGTTTTGAAATTGGATATCTTCAAATACAATTTTCACTTAAAAAAAGTAAAAAGTAAATAAAATTGGACACACGCGATTCAGATACACTTATGCGAGAATTCACACGCAAGAAAAAATTCATAATTAATTTCCAAGCAAATAAGTCTTTCTTTTTCTTGAAGAAAACACATATAGAAAAAAATTCCCAATTGATTTCCAAGTAAAATTGGACAGCACGCAATTCAAATACAATTTCATAATTAATCCGCGATTCGAGTAAACGTTTCGAGCCACTACCAAAACACTGGGTTGATTAAACTAAACAGGCTGACACAGTGATCCAAGCAAATGCAACGATACAATAGAAATACATTCATACATACAATGAGAAAAGAGAGATTCCTAATTAATTTTATTCTTTGTTCGAAAAAAATAAAAGAAAAAGAGCAGATAATCCAAAGGTTTATTCGCCCCGTCTCGAAATTTCTAAGCTATGAAAGTCTTGCACGATTTCCATAGTCGATGCCCTTTTCCCCGGGAACGAAGATCTCATAGCATGTGATAGGATTACCCTTTACTCAACCAAATTCGCAGCCTTCATCAAAAGCCCCCTCGATATCGGAAGAAGGAGAAGGGTGTACGCCACCCCCTTTGGGCGGGCATTATCTAAGTGCACTCTCTTTGAAGATCCTGCTACACTCGCCCATCCTCGAACTTTAATGCCGCTCGCGGTGGTCTATGATTACCAATTTTCCCTGACAGACGTTTCCTACTCGAGTTTCGGCCCGTCGGCTAATGGCGGACTGCTGCGATGGAGAATCGCCGACTGCTGCGCTCTCTGTCTAAGAGCGAGAGACTTAATCTGGCCGAGTAATCGTGCAAACGATGAATTCGCTCGATCAATTTTCCTTCCCAATTTTCACGTGACGTTTCGTTGCATCATTTTTGTTGCCCGAGTTGCTCAATTGCGAGTGGAAATAAGGAAATTCGTTGCTACGTTGGAATAGCTTTTTGCGACGTTTGGTATGAATTTGGTCATGAATTTTTGATTCGTTGATGATGTTGGCAATAATTGAACTCAATTTGAATTGTGAAAGTTTAAATGTGGAAAAATTTATGTAGAATGCCGATTTTTATGATTCGTTGCCTCTCTCGTTTGATATTGTATCTGATTCTTGAACAATAATTAAATCTTTATTTGAATCGCAAGTCTTGATTATGAAAGTTTAAGTATATAGAAGAATTTATAGAAAACACAATTAAAAAAAAAAAAGAAAAAAGTATAATTCCAATTAACTGATTAAGCCTCGATGAATTTTTTTTAATTTAGATGCATAGAATTATCTTTTATGATTTGATTTGATGTTGTTCTATTGCTTAAACATTCTTCACTACAAGATTATGGAAATTTATGCACAGTAAGAATGTAAGAGGATATGTATAAAGTACATATAATGATACTTTAAGGATAAAGTAGATTTTTATTTTTATTTTCCACACAATTTATTTATCATTATCAAAAAAGAGGAAGCTATATCTAACAGATATTCCAGCAATTAGAATTGGTATATCAACCTTTTATTTAATATCCTCATCTGTTTCCACACCGATAAACTAACTAAACGACACCCTTATCAAGAAACAAAGAAACGATACTTATCAACAGCTTTTACATTGATGTATAAAAAAAATTACTATGTGATTAATCATGATAATCACAATATATACATAGAAGACAATTTAATGGATATCGTCAGAATCTCGCAAGAAACTCTTGAACATCTTTCTCTACTTTTCCTGATGGTCTTTCTTTTTCGTCTCCTACCTTGATTCCAACTTTTAGCCCATGTATTACGAAAAACGTCGTCAAAAATACGATGATTCCATTCGAGAATATTTGATCAGCTCTCGAGATGCCGATTGATTTACTGCTACCCCGTGGATGATCAGCTGACGCTACTGCGTCACATGGAAATAATAAATAGGCGTAAATCAGGCCTCGAATTACAGCTCGATGTGTCGCACAGATAAGCTGATTGGCCCGTTTTTATTAGTTAAACTTACGTCGTTTTTTTTCATCATGAAATTTTTATGCCAATATTTTCAGCATTGATCAAACAACGGAAGATCAAAATTTCCTCGATTCACGTGTTTTCCTCTGTTAAAATAAATGGACAATTATTTTCAAAATTAAGAAAAAGAAAAGTTTCATCTTATGAAATCAATATCTATATTCAAGTCTCATTATTAAATTATATATCCACAACCTATCTCTTCCCTATAATTTTAAATAAATAAAAAAATTCGTTCTCCATCATCCTTTCCCGTCGTAAAAAATAAAAAAACGACAAAATTTTCTCGGTTACCTGATAATTTTCCTCCTCTCCTTCGACGGTGTTTACATGTTTATCAACCGATTTCTGAAATCTGAAAGCCCTGTCAACCGTGCTTCTCGTCGTCGGCTTACTACCTGAGTGATTAAGTGCCGGGCTGTAAAATTCGTTGTGGATGAGAATTCTAGCTAAAAAGGTGACAGCCTGTGTGTGGATAATAATAATTGTTTCTGCGCCGTATCTGGCGCTACCAAGGTGTCATGGATACGGGCACGGATTACCGCGTTATTAAAGTGGCGTCGAGCACCTTGATCCTCGCGGGCGGAGATATTTGTTCTTACATAAATCATTGTCCAGATAACGAACGCGTTTGACAAACCTCGTACTACTTCCTACGAACCTAAAACTTTTCCATAATCTGCTCTCCTTAATTCCATAGCGATGCGTGCAATCATATCTTGTCAACGATGATATCTTGATACTCGTATTATTACTCGATATAGGAACACGGATATCGTTAAGGGTGATCATTTATATTCGTGCAAAAAAAGTTTATCGAATAAAAAATCTGGAACATGATGAAAATGATGAATAAAAAATTTCTTCGAAATGTATAATAAGATTTGAGGTTATCTTTGTATTCGCCACTTTCACTTACATTTTTATACACTCGTGATAAATCCATCAATTTAACTCTTTTGAAAAGAGTCTTCTACGTAACGTATCTAAAAAGAGGATAAATAGAAGAAATAATCCTAAGCTAAATGATATCTAATATAGATAAGACCTCGGTTGTAATACACAGTACACCGGTACAGAGGAACTAACCATTAGACAAAGTGTAAAGTAAAGTAAAGTATCTTGCAAAATCCTTTCAAATTATCAAACTCTCTAAAAGATCAAAAATCCAAAGTTCTTCTTCTTTTTTCTCCAAAGTTCAATTCATCGTTTTGATTCGCAGATGACACTATTATCTCTATGCAGAGGCGGGAACGATTTATCGGAAGAAACTAAACGAAACTTCGAGTCATGGTTGCAACAGCAACAATTGGGTCTAGGTTTGAACCCAATGGTGCCAACCTCGAATCATCACCACACGCAGAGCCCTCAGCCGGATGGTGGCGGTACCATAGGATCTGCGGGTGGCACGATCGGCCCTCCACATCCTGCTCTTCTTCAGTACTCGCATAAAACTAGGATGAGAACGAGTTTCGATCCTGAGCTGGAACTACCGCGTCTTCAGCGATGGTTCGGTGAGAATCAACACCCGTCGCGTCAACAGATTCAACACTACGTCTCGGAATTGAATGCCCTAGAATCTCGGCGAGGCAGGAAGCCGTTGGACGTAAATAACGTAGTCTACTGGTTCAAGAATGCAAGAGCCGCCCAGAAAAGGGCTGAAAACAGAGGTGTTAATGGTTACAGTCCTCCTGGGCTCAGCCCGAGAGGTGCCAGTATTGTCAGCGAAGATTGTACCGACGAGGAAGAGGATTCGAGGAATCAGGTGTGTATTAGATTTATTAAAAATATCATTACGAATGTTGTTTCTCGTCAATTTAAAATCTGGTTATCAAATCTAGTTATCCTAGTCAGTAACATTTATAGCGCGGTAATTCAAAATTTGAAATTTGAACAATTATAATTTATTATAATTATAATCTATTGTAAAGCAAAAATAAATTGCTAATTATTATAATTAATTGTATTTCAACGAATTAGAGTGTCTTTTATAAATTTCAATAGAACACGACCTGCCTAATTCGTGTTAAAAATTTAAATATTGGTAATTTTAATATCAATGATAAATATTAATTGTAACCTTGTTTTTCAATGGACAGAATTATATCGAATTAGTTAGAAATCGACACGATCAAACATTATTGAAAACAACTGTCACTAATCAAATTATCTTTATAATACGTAATCGTATTATGTTATGCATAATTATTTTTCAGTCGACATCACCGTCTCCCTGTCCACCTGGAAGCCCACCAGTCGGCCCATTGTCGCTCACAACCAGACCGGAGGATCAACAACCTCCACCTTCGACACCATCCTCGGTAAAACAAGAGGATGCAAGGGTATCTTCTGGTTCTGAGGACGACGAGACGAGGCCGACCGGTCCTCTACCGCCTGGATTTTCTCTGGTGCCCAGTTCTATGTTCGGCCATGGGATAATGTACATGTCACCTTATCTGCCGCCTCGTGGGCCAGCTGGTTGTTCGACCAGCATGTTGGACGAAAGGAGGAAAAGGAACCGGACGTTCATCGATCCCGTGACGGAAGTGCCCAGACTCGAAGCTTGGTTCACTCACAATACTCATCCCAGCCATGCGGTAAGTTGTTGCGTGCGACGTTATTTTAATTATCGACACGTTAATTTGTCGCGTTTAATATTGATCCAGTAACCTCGAATGCTTGAAAGCAATGGTGTAGCAATTAATTTCGATCTTTAAATTTTTGAAACCGTCCATTTCGTGTAAATATAATCTATAAATTTTGATTATGATTATAATTCAATTTGTGTGATATAATAATTTTTAGCATAAATCGTAACAATCTCGTGCAAGACGTGCAAAGATAGGTTAGGTTAGGTTCGTAACCGAACAAAAAAGATAATTAGTAGAAATTCAAATAATTTTAATATAAATAAATGGTACATATACATTCAAGTATCTAAATAGAAATTTATCTATGAATTGAATTTGAAGATATTTGATTTTTTTAATAATTGCAATGAAATAAATATAAAGTTTTTTTGATAGATTTTGGTGTTACGATCGAAATTTATTGTATAAGAATTTTTAGCATAAATCGTAACAATCTCGTGCAAGACGTGCATTAAAATTAGGTTAGGTTAAGTTCGTAACCGAATAAAAAAGATAATTTTATCATTCTCTTTTCCTTCATCTGTCGATACGATTTTACAATACTCGATTCTGATTCGCAGCTGATACTGAAATACACGGAGGAATTGAACAGGATGCCGTATCGGCAGAAGTTTCCCCGACTGGAGCCGAAGAACGTGCAATTTTGGTTCAAGAATCGGCGGGCCAAGTGCAAACGTTTGAAAATGGCATTGTTCGAGGGTGAATCGCCCCAACCGCACCCGTATCACGCGGACTAGCTCTCGTCTCTTCGTATAACGTAAAAAGTAGGAGCAACCGAGATGTCGCGAGATGGCATTATCATTTATAATACCGGAGGATGAAGGAGGTGGAGTAAGAAGGAAAAAAATAAAATAAATAAATAAACAAAAACCATCGTTAATCAACCTGTTATTTCTTTAATATCGTTGAACCGCGACCATATTCGCCACGGTCGCCACTTTTGTTGTAATTAATTCGCGTAATAATTAATATAATATGGACCTTAATAAGTGTACATATGAGAATATTGTCGAATAAAAAGGTATACGTCACGATTCACAGCATGGTCATTATCCTTCTTGAATATATATTATTACACATTTGTCTGTACACGTTCCTTTTTTGTAAACACAATATTTTTTCTTCCTTCCATTTGTTACCATTGTTTTAAGGAACAAGCTAATAAAGAAAATTTGCAAGTAAATAACCTATGACGAGGTATTATTATTCTCATTAATAGAACATATCCTTTATTATTTTTTCCTTATGTATATAAAAATTATTTTCCATGAATACATCAACGTTATCTCTCACATCAAAAAGAAAAATTTTGGCATAATATTGAAAAAAGAAAAATACACTTACTTTTATAGTTCAAGTATCAAGTATTTCCACATTTAAATTATCATAAAATGCGATTCTCCTTTCAAAGAACAAAACCTCATCCTCCTTCCAGCGATCAAATCCCATCCTCGTCTTTATCCAAATTATTATTCCAAACTTGGAGAATTTCATCGTCACCGCGGAAAAATCGAAAATTGTGATGTTACGCATCACAAATTTTCGACAACAAGTACTACGAGAACGAACGTAGGAGGAAGGTTAGGCGAAGGCGCGTCGACAGGGAGATCACCGAGGTCGAAGTCAGGACGGATTTAATGAGGATAGGCGGATTTGTCCAATTAAAATGTCTTGTAAAGATCCACGGCTCGAGGTCGATCCTCGTTCATTCGCAAAACATCGAAATTCGACATCGCGGCAACAACGCCCTCTTCTTATCCGCTATACCGTGTACACTCGACCCGTATATCCCTTTCGTTATTGAGATTCGTATTCTCAGATCCTTCTACAGACAGACGTTGTTAAGGGGATCCCTCTTTGAAAATTGGCCTTTTCTCTCTTTCTATATTTCTATATACCGGATAAATACACGTATATATTTATATTTTTCTTTCTGGAATTTTTCTCACTCGTTCAGAAAATTTGAAAATTTTTCTTTCGTTGACAAACAGAGCTTGAGATTAAGGAGTCGATGGTGGAGAGAAAAATAATGAAGATGCTTGATTCGAGAGGAACAAAATAGAGGAGATTCGGGAGAGAGGCGGGGACGAAAATATCGGACTGTTCGAACGGATAAGAGATGACGGTGGAGGGGGAAGAGGTGGAGGAGGAGGAGGGAGAAGGAGAAGGGAGGGGGAACGTAAGAAGCGGCGGTAAGGGTGGAGGGCGGATGCCTTATGAAAATCTTAAAAGTCAGCAGCCCCGAGGATCATCTCTCTATCTGATCTCAATTTGTCAGCCGGCGAAGGAATAATTTAGGCCACACCCTCGATAGTAAATCGTTATAGGGTACCTCGTCGGCTCCTCGTCGTCTGAAACTATTCTGTTTCTTCTATTTCTTCGATCTCTGACCGATCGTGGAAGACATGATGGAATTAGAACATCAGATGTATCAAACTTTAAATTTATAATATAAAAATAATCATTTCGCGATTTTTCGCTCTTTATTCGTCGTTGCCTTAGATTTAGATACATTTCTCGTGTTTTGTTCAATTATTCACGCAAAAATAAATTCAAAGAATCGTTCGTCATCTTGGATTCGACACTTTTTCTGATAACGAGAAAGTTTAATCCCAACGGTATCTTTCACAATTATTATCGATAGAAATAATTTCCTGATATAGTACAAACTTATAGAGATATATTAGAACTTGAAATTCACTATATTTTCTGATAGAAAAATTCTCAATATTCACATTCTCTTTTTTTCACATATAATTATCTTGGACTCGAGAAATTCGTATGTGCTTTTATAGAAAAATTTCGAAATCAGGTAGTATATAACAATAAATATCTCTAATAAATTTAATAGTATTTTTCATAATCACCATCGATACAAATCCTTTCTAATTTATCACAGATTTACAAAATTCACGTTTCCAATAGAAAATTTTCAAAATCACGCAATATACGTACAAATATTTCCAAATGATTCCATATCTTTCACATTCATATCGATACAAATCCATCTTAGTACAACTAGTAAATTTATATGTAAATACCTTCAACAAATTTAATTTTAACTACAGTTCTCTCAACAGTATCCTCCATAATTATTCGATATTATTTATTATCGACACGGATCCTCTTTAATATATCACAAACAATACACAGATATCTCAGACTCGACAATCTCACAAATTCATATAATAGAAAAATTTCAAAATCACGTACTATGCATAAATACTCTCCAACAAATTTAATAATATCCACGAAAATTACTATCGATACGAATCCTCTCTAACAAACCACAAAAATACTAAAAAGATATCTTAGACTCGCAAATTCATATAACAGAAAAAAATATAACAGAAGGAGATATTTAATTTCACCATCGCATTCTGATCGCACGGTATCCCGGATAATTATACAAATATCGTGTACAAATCCATCGATTGGTTTCGCATAGGATTCGCATAGGAGTATTAGGCCACACTTTTGCCACTTGATCGCATCCAACGATCTAGTCATCACGGCCAACATTATCTACGACGAAACGTCCGGCAGCTGCATGGAAACAGAATAGTTAGGCATATCCTAACCGCGGCTGATAGGAGAGCTCTCCCATTTTCTCCATCTCCCCCCACCCCCCGGTCTTGTTCTCCGTTATTATTCAGGAACTTTGCTGACAGCTCCCCGGATAGGAAGATAAGAACGTCCTCTGAATGCCGAAGCGCGCACAATGCTCCTTTAGGAACGGCGTGTACCCACGTCTCGCGCTTCTACTTTTCCTAGGAGGCACAATCGCGGCCGAGAATCGTACAGTTCAACCGTATAACTCGAGCTCGAAACCCCTCCATCGCCGAATCCTGTATTTTTCTTCTCCCCGCTTCCCCCCTTCCTCCATCGATTGTTAACTTCGACTTATTTCGACTTCGAGAATCATCGTAAACAGCATGCGAAATCGCGATGCGAATTTTCAAGTGGAAATTTTCGAGCGACGCTTCAATTCCAAGATTTTTTTCTTGATTTTATAAAAAAAAAATAATTATATCATTATCGCTAGGCAGCGATAACAAAGAAATAGCGAAATTTCAATTAGAATCATTTAGAAGTTTCTTTTTTAAAACGAAATCCAAAAAAATAATCACCAGTTTATTATAATATTTTAACTGAATATAGATATTAAGAAAGAAATAATAAAATTGTATAATAATTTGAATAATTGACCATAATATTTTTTATCCGTTGAATATTAAAAAGGAAATGATGAAATTGTTGCGCAGAAAATCGTACAGCAATTTCTTCTCTTATCTTGAAACGAATTATTCCATTCCAACTTGCACGGATCATTAACCGCAACGAAAACAACAAAAAATTATCGCGAAGAATAGTACGTTAAACCGTCACCTTGCGTTCGGGCAATGAAAACAAGGACGTAACGGTTGGGAGCCGCGTCCGTTTAAGACGAAGTCACAGCAAAACGCTTAAAGGGAGAATTCGAGAGTTGGCAAATTAGCCGCAGGATTGGCCTTATAATCCTTGGAGGAGGATCCCAGCTATTCTCTTTGACTCTCTTCCTCCTCCTCCTCCTCCTCCTCCCCTTTCCCCGCTTCCTTCCCGCTTTATCCCTCGTCCTTTTTCCCGATCCGCGGACCAAGCCCGCCCCCTCCTTCCCTCTTTTCTTATTCTTTTAATCCCCTCCCCTCCCTCCTTCGACCTCATCAACCATAAGGCCATGGTAAAAATTATATGGGGGGAGGCGAGAGATAACGGAGGAAGAGAGACGCGATTGAAAGTAATGAGGCCGAAGGAAGGAGGATCAGGGGCAGAGGGGAGGATGGAAGGCTCCTCGGTTAAATCCTGCCGGGGCAGGGGATAATTAATCCCGTTAATTTATCGCCACCTTCATATACCTCTTCTTGACCACTTCTTGACCGGGGAGCACGATCTTTCGGAAGGAAAATGTTTATCTTGGGAAGAATTTCTAATTCGATCGATTTATTTCGCGAATTATTGGCCACGAATCACGAGGGCGTGGAAGAAGGATGGAAGCGAGAGAGATAGCCTCTTTTTTCGTCGACTCGCAAAACTATTCGGAATTTTTCATCAACGTGGATCATCGTCTCGTGCTACGTTCATACGTGCTTCGCTCGACCGAGGATATTTGTTCTTATTCCGTTTTCCGTGTTCAAAAAAAAAAAAGAAAAAGAGAGAGAAAGAAAGAAGAAAAAAATAACAAAGGAAGAAAAAGGAGGAGGAAACGTTACGAGATACGTTACATCGCCCGTTAACGGGAGAACGGAGGAGCTCCTCCTCCCCCTCCTCCTCTTAATTGATCTATAGTCGAATATTACACGATTGGGCAGAGGCATTTAAGCCTCTCCAAAAGTGGCCGCTTAGTCGGTCGTTGGCCGAGATCTATCGTAGAAAGATAGAACCACGAGAAGGGGGGGGGGAGAGAGAGAGAGAGAGAGAGAGAAGAAGAGAGGATCATACCACTTAG